TATCAGTTATCAGACTTAACAGTTCCTCATTGTCCTCACCCTTGCTTGCCGCAGCAGCAGCGGCGGCCGCTGCCTCAATAATCTCCTCCGAGCTACCCATATCACTGAAGGCCACCGATCCACTGGTTTGCGACATTTCGGTAACGCCCGTCGAGTTGGCATTTGCAGCAAATGGCCCGCTCTCTATGGGCGTTGCATTCAAGTCAACCGCTTCACGATCATTGCTAGTCCATGGCTTGGGCAAACCATTTAGACGTTCAGAGCTAGCCGGTGCCGCAGATCGATCCTGTGGCTGCTGTCTCTCGTTTTTGCGTCGCTCCGTGTTCAGTCGTTGCCGCATCTCTTCCAACTGCTGGTTGAGTTCTTCACAGCGTGCTTCCAGGGATTCGATATTGGCTCCCAGTGACTTGATTTGCTTCTTGTCGCGTGATTTCTCCAGGGTCAAGCGATGATTGCTGCGCTCCAAGTCCTGTATGCCCACCTCCAGTTGCTCGTAGACCTTTAAGCGTGTATCGTTGACTTCGGCCATTGCATTGATTTGCTTTCGCAGATGCACAATTTCCCGCTGCTGTTCCTCATTGCGAGTTTTGTGCTCCTTCAGCATTACTTCCAATTCTCTGTTCCGCTCCAACAGCGTTTTGCCCAGCTCCGCCGCCAGCTGCAAGTCGTCGAGCATAAACTGCGAGCCATCCACATCCGGCTCGCAATTGTCTGCATCGACTTTGCTCCCATCCATTTTTTGTTCAACTGTTTTTCGTTGCGTTTCTGTTGCGGCAATAATTGGGTATTCATTAATCTTGGCAGCCAAAACACATGCTTATTGATTTTTGCCTTACATTCAATTGCTGGAGATTGTGCGCATATTATGCAAACCATTTACACACTCAGCAGCAGCTTCGGTTATCCGATATGTATTTTTTCGTATTTTCTTTCGTTTTGTATGCAAATACTTTGCGTATTACGTCACCGATTTTACCAATGACACTTGCACAAGTTAACGACGACAAAACTTTTCGCTTTATTCTCTCTATTTTATTCTTTAACGCAAGTGCAAGTGCATTGCAACCCTACAGCAAAGCCAGCGCAAACCAACCCCTTGTAGCTGTAAAAGCCAGTGACGTAGACAGGGACGGCTTACGATTGACTATGGCTGGCTTTTGTATCTACATACATACATAAATACATATGTATATATGTATGGGCGAGCATAAGAAAAGAAAAATTAAACATAAGCTCACGCTGAAGAATATATTGATATAATGCGCACGTATTTATGTGAAAGTCCATTCAAGCCACAACTGTAATATTTGCATATTCATATCGAAAGGTTTCCTAACTGAACACTCCATTCATTGTTTAAACAATCTTTGAGAATATTTCCTGTTTTATTTTTTTGTCATTTTGGTTAAACTGCATTAAGTATTTGAGCTCACTGTTTACGTATTCATTCGCACGTTTGCATGTTTGTATTGAACGCCAAAAGCTTAGCTCAAGGTGCGACACTTTCAAGCCCCCATAAAAAAAGGTTGCTACGCATCTGAAGCAATAACAGCTGTTGTCTTTGGCGAGGGTCCAAAGGTGCGCAGAAAATGAAATGAAAACAATCATTGTTCGATCGTAAAGATTTATTGTGGTGCATTTTATATGAAATTGCAATAATTATATCATTAAGCCAAATACCTCTGTAGGAATTGCTTTTGCTCTATAAAGTAGTTTTTACTTTTTATTATCTCTAACCTCTAAATAAATAACAAATATACATATGTACATATGTATATACATATAAACATTAAAAAAAGATTCTTATACCCATTTCTTAGTTTGTGTTTTATTTAACTCTACAAACAGTGGCGAGCATGTATTGATACATGTTGGGCAAGTCGACGTTAAAATAACTGTAAAAGCTTAAAAAAATGCATGAGGTCTGTCTGAAATTTTAGAATTAGATTCATTTGATATATTAAATAAGGAAGTAAAATCACTAACCTCTGGTTAGTGGTAAAATCATTGGTTTCACATTTGGATTCAAATTCAAGTTTTTCAGATGGTTAAAAAAAAACTGTGTATCCCCTTTTGCTCGATTTAAATTTTTTTTTTTTTTTTTTCAATATAAACAGATGTTAATATTTTGTCCAAGGATCTTTAGATTAAATCACACTAACAATGCGTTTGGGCATAATTTCCACAATTTTTCCAAAAGAGGCATGGGAAATTTCGCTCAACTCCGCCTGGATCCGACACCACCCCTTAATCCAATTCGGTGGTGTATCTTACTTTAAGAGCCAGTTATTAACCAAAACCCATAAATTTTTAATAGGCATATGTACATATGTGTACATGTTTGTGTATAAATAATATAGGTAAAAAACGTTCTACATTTTGTTTTTGTTATTATATCTTCCTGTTCATAAGAAATAAAAATAAAAGACTTTAGTTACTAGTAGATTAAAAATTGGATTGTACATTTAATATCAAATGGCATTAATAATAAACAATATTAAAAATAAAAACTTTCCACTTACGTATTTGTTCAAATGATAATTATATATATGTATGTACAAATATATTTATATAGCTTTGTTAAATACATATATAATTTTTCATTTTTAACCTTATTTCCGATTCATAAGTACGAGTAGATAAAATGTTTCTTCATTTTAACAGATTAAAAATTATAGCTTTGAAAATCTTAATATACAAAAAAAAATATTTTAATCTTCACATAGCAAAACTCTCAGTCGTTGTTGTTGCTGTTGCTGCTTTAATCTTTGTTCGTAGGGATCGCCATAGTTAACCTTGCCGACCTCATAGTGGGCCATTTTATTGCGATGTCTCGTGAGTAGAGCGCCGCTCTGGAAGTTTTCTCCGCAGACGCCACAATTGTAGGGCCGGAGCGTAGCTGGTTGAGTCTCGCTCTCGCGCTGCAGTCGCATTCGTTCGATGTCCTCGGCTCGACGCTTGTTCACTCGACTATTCTCATAGGGATCAGACTCCAAGGTTGCGTTGCCTTCTGTTCCAGTCTCAAAATGTCGCTTCTGGTTCCGATGGATGTTCAGCAGAGAACCGCAAACGAAGCTCTTGCCGCAAACGTTGCACGCATAGGGCCGCTCGCCCGTGTGCCGTCGCATGTGGATCTTCAGGTCGTTGGACTGCACAAAGCTTTTGTCACACTTGTCGCAGGCGTACGGCCGATGCCCAGTGTGCAGACGCATGTGCCGCGCCAGCTTGTTTTGCGAGATGAACTTCTTGGCGCATATTTTGCACTCACTGGGACGCTCCCCGGTATGCTGACGCTTGTGCAGACTGAGGTCCTGACTGCGTGGAAAAGCCTTCTCGCACTGGTCGCACTTATATGGATTTTCTCCGGTGTGGCGCCGTATATGTATGGTCAGACTGGAAACGGGAAAGCTAACGCCACAGTGGGGACACTCGCGCCTCTTTGCAGTACGTTTTGGTGGCGCGCTAACTATGGCATCTTCTGAACCTCCGCTGGCGGCCACCACATCCGGATGAAAGGCAATCATGTGTCGCCGCAATGTATCCTGGCGCTTGAAAATACGGGGACAATGCTCACAGATCAACTCACCGCTGCTGCTGTGTTCCTTAGCCAATTCTTGGGCAGCTACATCTGCCGCTTGGCTATGAGCCGTTGCACAGTGGCGTTCCAGGGATTCGTTCTTAGCAAAAATGCGTGGACAACTCTCGCATTTGTACATAAAATTCTGCGACTGTACCAGCCGCATTCCTAGGTACGAATTACGATACTTGATTTCTGAATCCTGATCTGCAATATTAATAATGTCACCATCGGACTCTTCCGGCACCAATTCCGTGATCATTTCAGTAGGGTCAATCTCACTATGGGTCAGCTCTTCAGATGGCACTTCGGTATGAGATGGCGCCTCATATTTCTGTTCGTCATATTTCTGCTCTTCATAGCGTTCATATGCTTGAGCTGCATTTGGCGTTTCTTCGCATATCTGCTCCTTTGAAGAAGGATCGTCAGCGGCCAGTTCCACCTCTTGCAGCTCAATGACGGATCCACTTTCCTCCAATTGCAGTAGTTCTTCTTCTGGGCTTGGCAATTCTGCAAACTCACTGATTTCCGCATATTTGGTCGGCTGATCCTCATCCTGAACACTATATAATTCCAGCAGTGTCTGATTGGACTTTATAACCTCTCGAATAAACTCGTAGGCACTGATCAGGCGACGCGTGCAGTTCTGGCATAGGTGTGAGGGTAGATTCGGCTCATTCCAATTACACTGCAAATCATTTTCGAATTATATTACGCTGCTTATGGTTGTTACAATTTACTATTGTTACCTTCACATTGGATACATTTTCTAATATCTCCCACAGCTCTACATTTAGATCATTAAACTCAATTTCATCGTGAAGGCTCCAAGCTGATTCGTGAGCCTCCAAGCAAACCCGACAGGTTTGCTGGTTGACAGTAATGCTAGTAGTATTTCCTGGTATTTGAATCTCATTTTCTGTAGTGTTCATTTTGTCATATCCCTAGTTAGAAACTTCTTACAATTCCTGTATTATTATTTTTTACCAACACTAAATACTCCTCAAACAGCTGTTTACTCTTCAAACTGTAAAATGTACAGAAATTTTTGTTTACATGACGCAATTTTTGGCTTTTTCTGTAATTTTGTGGTATATCGATTCAACTGAGGGACGATTTCGATATATTCGCATGACATCGACAAGCAGCAATGGCTTTTCATCCCTGGTAATGTCGTGGAAAGGCAATTATCGCGCTTTTTCTTTTAATTTTTTAAAACTTTATTTCACAAATTAACTTATCGTTTTTCACGAGTTTTTTATTGATTATAAAAATTATAATTGTATACCTTTGATATAATGTGTATATTATATAGTTTTTTTTTTATCACGAGCATTTGCAAGTTTAGAATATCGCTGATATAAAAACAAACAAGAAATCCGAGCGACATAGTTGAGATTACAAATTTACGAAGATTCTATGCTTTCTTTACGGACGGAAAGCTTTCATATAAATGCAAAAAAAAAAGAAAAGTGAAACGAAGATATAGAATAGCAATGACAGATTAACAAATTAGAAGCGGTTGGATTCCAGACAAGACTTAGGGGCTTAGTGCCGGTGCTGTTGCGTTCTTAAACTGAAATGTTGGATAGCGCGGAGCGAATGTGTTGTCTCCAATGATTTGTGTGTGCTCCGAATCATCCCGTCCGGTAATTTTTGGTGCGCGGTATTCCGTTTCTACGAACTGGGGCGGCGCTATAATAATTAAGGAAAATAAGTGGAATATGTGGAATATGCAGGACGATTAATGTTGTACTTACGTATATTGGGGTAGAGTGCCCCACCTGCACTATCTGCCACATTCCATCCAAGAGCACCGCCTACACCGTCGCCCAGTGGACTGACTGGACTCACCGGCTGTGTGGGTGCCAGAGACGGATCCTCAGCTGGTGGCTTTACGGAAGCCAACGGAATGGTGCCCAATGTGATGGGCACTTTGCCAGTGAGGTTACGATGCGGTCCACTTACATCACACTCGACATGCAAATCGTAGTCCAAAGCGATGATGCCGCAATTGAGTAAATTGGTTGGCGGCAGGGCTGGTATTTCCATTTGCTGTGAAAACGTGCGAGACTCTCCGGCATTGACAGGCCCAACGCTCAATTGGGCAATGATCACCTTGGACTCGCGTTTCTCGCTGCGCGGTTGATTCGTATGGAACGTGACAAGTTTGCGCAACTCAAATTTAACAGCAGTGAGATTCACATTGCTGGTATTGTCCACCTCGCAGGTAATGGGCAGTATTTGACCCGACACGTATCCAGTTTGTGGTATGCTTGTGACCACAGTAAGGGGGCCGGAGCGGCAGCAGAAGCAACAGAATGACTTCTCTAGTTCCAGCTTGAACGGCTCCTTAACACGCGGATTAAGATTCAGGTCAACTGGCGCTATGACAGTAAATGCCATTTTCATATCCTGATCGAACTTCCATGGCCTATCCAAAGTCACTTTAATAGTGTAGCGCACATGTCCAAATTCCCCCTCAAATGATGAGGGCAAATTCGGAGGCAAGGCGCACGTAAAAGGATACGTGTGTGTGCCCGGCGGTAGCTCAGTTTCTGAGCCTACAAAATATGTTGAATTTCAAATTGAATTCTGGATGTTTGATGCATTTTCTTACTGTTTTTGCCGCCGAGCAAATAGTATTGTATTTTGAAGTACTCCTCATGTCCCTTCAAGCTCGTGATCTCGTTCTCAGTCTTGCCCTCGCTCGTCGTCACATTACGTTCCTCAGTCCATTCCGTATTGGCTTCGCCCAAGAAACGTATGATAATGCCTGCAATAGCACAAGTGGTTAAGAATCTTTAATGCATGTGTTTCCCCTCCGTGTTTGTAAATAAACCAATTCATTGTCGCGCCACGCCTTGCCTCTGGCAGCGAGTATAGCATATGCTATAAATAACAGACTACTGCGACGAATACTAAGCTCTGAGACTCTCGACTACCAAACCGATGACATCATCGCGAACAGCATCATTCCATACTATTGCGTATAAATAGGTTGACCTTAATTAAAATCTAGATAAATTTTTAAATGCTATAATAGATTTTATATTGTATTGTGATTTGACTTAATTATATATTTGACATTTATATAGATTAATCATTTCTGATTTTATTCTTTCTAAAATTCTGGAAAAAGGAAAGGTCCACCCATATATACATACATACATAAATGCCTAACGGCACCGGCTTTTTACAAGCGAGAGGCGAAACTAGAAATGCAGCTACAGCTCAAATCTAGAATGGAATTCGAGCTAATGATTTCATTGTTTTTTCTTCAATACTTCAAGTCGTCACTCTTATGAGTAATACGGGCTCCATTAAAGCTGTGTTGAAATTCATATATGTACATATAACTACATATATATATTTAAATAAAACTCTTACCTCGTACTTTTTTGGGCGAATCGAAGGTGATTTTCACCTGACCGTTGACAGTTTGCCCAGCGTAGTACGTGTTCCATGGGTTGTCCAATTGCACTTCACAGCCCTTGATACCCATTATTTTATATTGAGCTAACGTTCACCTATTTAAAACTATAAAACTTAGACGAGCTAAGACAGAGATTGCTGATTCGTTTGGGATAGGTTCGATCAAACGACTCATTCAACTTGACCTACGAACTAGCTCCTTGATTCGATAATATAAGTCTTTGTAAATAGAATATATTCATCGATATCTTGCAACCGATTACAGAAGGCGGTAAATGTCACTGTTAAAAGACACAGTAAGTTGCGCAAAGAGTAGTCCCGTTACTTTTAATGTTAATTAACAGGTCTCTTGTGACGTCACAATTTCAGATTTTGCTCTGTTATCCCAGCAAAAGCTTGGCGGTCACTTCAGCAGACATTCACCAAGTGGTCCAAAACAACCAATAGCAATAAATAGCTTAAAATTTGTCAATCACTAATTTTGTCGACATACAATAAAAAACTAAGTATATACTGGAATGAATTGAGAGGCCTCTCGAAAGCAGTAATGATATGCCAAAATGGCCATTATGCTAGCAGGTGTAGTTGAACATAGTTAACTGGGGTTTCGCCATCAGTATTGTTTATTTATACCAATTTACTACACATTCAAACATAGAACACGTTGAGGGGTCATTGATAAAGGTGCTGCTCATACCTGCTGTCATGTCAGAAACATCCTGTAGAATGAAATACAGTTGGTGTGATTATAGTCTAATCGAAAACTGTGCATCATTATGAGTATTGAAGCCTAAGAAAACATATGTACATATAATCAACCTTGATTCAGCTCTAAAAACTTAGGCAAAAGCTAACAATGCTGAGTATCAGCTATAACCATCTTGTAATATAAAGAATGAAATTATTACGTTTAATGATGTGGATTGATGGGAAACGTGTAATGCTTAGTAGTAATTCATTAATTTTAAAAAAATTAAGCCTTAGATATTAAGGTTAAGGCACTGACCAGTCAGTGATTAATAAATGACTAGAAAACGACTTAGACGATAAAAATGAGCAAAAACCTTTATATTTTCCGATTCGTGAATCTATGTAGAGCTTGTGATTAGTCGCCTAGGTCATTTTATTTACTCTACTAGCTTTAAGAAAAATAACATTGTCGAAATTGCTTGGTTTTCATACAAAGTTGAGAGCGCGCGCACCATTTTCTGAAATATTGACGTCACGCTGTCAAATCAGCTAGCTGTTCGCTTTGCATGTTAGTGCTAGTGGTCAGTGCTAACAGCAATAGTTTTACAAGTTCGCGATTTATATTCGATATATGTAAGTGTAGTCGATATTGAAGTATTTTTCTGTCTGTTAGTTGGTATTTAGATTTGCGCACGTTGTTGTCATTGCATGACAATAAATAAGTAAAACTAAGATGCGAAATCTGAAGCTACAATATTGTAAGGAGCAGAGAACTGGTATTCCTAGTTGCAATCAAATCTTGCTTCAGCCGGATTTCGAAATAAGTGGCCATGGTACCACGTACTTTGTGACTGACAGCGAAATATACGCTGTTGATAACGATGCCAACGCGTTTCGAGAGCCAAAACTTGTTGCCGAACTGCCGGACATTGTCGGCGCAGAGTATTTACAGCTGGATAACGCAATATGCGTTGCCACGAGTGCCGGCGAAGTGCTGCTCATCAATCCTGATACGCTGTTTCAGCGTGAGGGCACCTACTGTGATGTGGGCATTGAGTGCATGTCTTGGTCACCCAACCAGGAGGTGGTTGTCTTTATAACCAAGACAAAGAATGTGGTTGTGATGACGTGCACATATGATGTGCTGGCTGAACAGCCGCTGGATGCGAGTCTCGCTGATGATCAGCAGTTCGTGAACGTCGGCTGGGGCAAGAAGGAGACACAGTTCCATGGGTCAGCTGGAAAGCAGGCGGCTAAGCAGTCGTCGGAGTTTGTTGTCCCATCAAATATCGATTTGCTGCCGCAGGTGAGTGGCACAGTTCGATGCGTAAACATTTTTACAGTTTTATTATGTTTGGGAAACAGGAGGTGCAGGTTGCCTGGCGTGGCGATGGTTCCTATTTTGCTGTGTCCTATGTGGCCGCCAACGTGGGTCGCACCTTTAGCGTCTACGACTCTGAGGGCAAGCTACAGTATGCTGCAGAGAAATGGAATGGTTTGCAAGCACCGATAGCTTGGAGGCCGAGCGGCAATTGGATTGCCCAGCCACAAATTATGTCCGGCAAGTCGATTGTGGCGTTATTCGAGAAGAACGGATTGCGTCATCGTGAATTCGACTTGCCATTCGATTTGACAGTGGAGCCCATTGTGCAGTTGGCGTGGAGTGATGATTCAGACATCCTGGCGCTGCACACTAAGACTACGGAAAAGCAGACTATCTATCTCTACACGATTGGCAACTATCATTGGTATCTTAAACAGGTGCTGGTCTTTGAGGAGCAATATGATCCGCTTGCTCTGTTCCATTGGGACAGTCGCCTTGGCGCCGAGCACACGCTGCATATCCTGCTGATGAGTGGCAAGCATTATACACATCGCTTTCGCTTTGGCATCGATTGCCAGCCGAGCACAGATATTGTCTATGTCATCGATGGCAAACGTTTGCTATTGACCAAGTTCTCGACAGCTGTGATACCACCGCCCATGGCCTGGCGCGTCGTTCAAATGAAGAGCGACATAAATGCAGTGATCACGTCCGAAAACGAAGTCTATCTATATACGAGCGATCATTGTATATACTCATATCAACCAAAAGACGATCGACTTGAATTTAGTTGTCAGCTGAGTCAGCCCTTGGCGAGAAACCAGTTGACCAATTTAAGCTGCTTTGGCAATGAGTTTTTGCTGGCCGTAAATAGTGCTGATAACCAGACAAACATACTTCTGCTGCTCAAGGGAAATATGAAAACATCCTTGAGCATTCCTGGCACTGTGAATGCCCTAACCGTGCCCAATAATAGCAAGGATCGTTGCTATATCCAGACCCTCGAAAATGATCAGATTTACGAAGTAATCTTGACACCAAACGGTGAGCTGAAGACATTGCCCAACTCTCTGCAGCTAACAACTCCCGTGAATTACATGATAATGCACACAACTTCTTCTAATCCAGCTGGTAAGCTATTGAAAGCTTTGAGATGATTGGGTGGAGGCCTAAAACTGAGTTCTTTTTCGATCTTATGTGGAGCATGGAATAGTTGAGTTTTATAATATTTTCCCTAAAATTGCAGGTGAACTGATTTCGCTCCACTTGCAGCAGCAGTTATATGTGGATGGCAAAAGGGTGGCCGAGGATGTCACTTCCTTCTGTGTCGTCGGCGACTATTTAATATATACCCAGCTGAATGCATTGCATTTCATACGGCTGAGCGACAAGTGTGCCGTAGGCACGCGCAGGATTGAGCGCGGTGCCAAGCTGGTGACACCAGCGAGCGGTGCTCGACTGGTGCTGCAGTTGCCACGAGGCAATCTGGAGGTGATCTGTCCACGTGTGCTCGCCCTCGACTTGATCGGCAAGTCGCTGGATCGTGGCGACTATTATCACCCGATGTGCATGCTGCGCAAGCATCGCATCAATATGAACATCATCTGCGATCACGACATGGCCAAATTCGTGGAGAGTGTGGGCGAGTTTCTGGATCAGATCCAGGACAGCCAGTGGATATGTCTGTTCATCAACGAGCTGCAGAACGAGGACTATTCACTGGGCATGTATGCCAGCAATTATGACACAGTGAGGCAACGTCCTCCGCCCGACTTCAAAGTGGACCAAAAGGTGTCCACCATCTGCGGGCTGTTGATCAAACAGATGACCAGCACCGACGATCCCAAGCAGAAGGCACGCTTCCGCCTGCCCATTATAACGGCTTATGTGAAGTCCAATCAATTGCCAGAGGCTCTGGACTACATTTGGCAGCATAAGCAGGAGGATGCCCAGCTGGGCGAGCAAATGCTCAAGTATCTGCTTTATCTGGTGGATGTCAATGAATTGTATAACGTCGCCTTGGGCACATATAACTTCGGCACAGTCCTCTTCGTTGCTCAGCAATCGCAAATGGATCCCAAGGAGTTTCTGCCCTACCTCAATGAGCTGAAATCCTTGCCGCCCAACTATCGCAAGTTTAAGATTGACGAACATCTGAAGCGCTTCGATCGGGCCCTCCATCATTTGGCTGCCTGCGGTGCAGAGCATTATGAACTGGCCCTAGACTTCATCAAACAGCATAATCTCTACAATCAGGCCCTGATCGCCTATCAGTCGCAAACGGACTTCCATCGTCGCATTTGTGTGGCCTATGCGGATTATTTGCGTTCCAATGCCCAGCTGGAGGAGGCCAGTCTGCTGTATGAGCGCGGCGGCGAGCTGCAGCAGGCGCTGCTCAGCGCCCGTCACACCCTCGACTGGCAGCGTGTCCTGCTGCTGGCCCAGCGTGCAGGTGAGCCGCTGGCCCAGGTGGCTAACTCGCTAGTGGCACCGCTGCAACAACATGATCGTTATTTGGATGCGTACGAGCTGCTCAAGAGATTTGAGCCACCGGACAGTGAGGCACCGTTGCAGCAGCTGCTCAAGGGCCATCTGTATGGGCGTGCGATCTACGAGGCGGGCCTGCTGGACCAGGACGGCACAGCTGAGCTGCTGGGTAAGCTAAACTCCGACTTTACAGAGCCCTAATATTAATGTTAATTTGGTATCTGTCTTAATATTCAGCTAAGCGTGTGAAGCCCTCGCTCATGGAATATGTCGCACATTTGGAGGCTTCCCTCAACGCGGATCGGCAGCTGTTCCTGGAGTACAAGCAGCGTCTGCTGGACATACGCAAACGACAGGCGACGGCAGCTGCAGCCGCCGACGATCACGGGCTGGATATTGATGAGGCTGATCTGCTGTCGGACACTAGCAGCATTCAGTCGTCGCGGCACAGCGGTAGCTCGCGCGGCACCGGGTAAGGCGTCACTTGGCTGCATATTTTTCTCTTCCACTCACTTTCTTTGTCGTGTCTGTTGTTTTTTTTTTTTGGTATTTTAAGTAAAACATTTCGCTCGAGCAAAAATCGGCGCAAACACGAACGCAAGCTGCTTAGCTTGAAGCCGGGCAACCCCTTCGAAGACATCGCGCTCATCGATGCGCTGCACAACCAAGTCACGAAGCTCGGCCAGCAGCAGCAGCAGCTTCTTGTGCGTGACACATGCAAAGCGCTCCTCCAGCTGCACACAGAGGATGAGCGGGCAGCGCAGCTGCAGCGCCTGTATGAGAGCATCTTGCTGGAGCTGCAGCCAGCCGTGCTGGATGAGATCTGGATACCAGAGCTAATGGGCGGCACCGCCCAACATCTGACCGGACCCAATGTCGACTATCTGGCACTGCAGAAGGAACAGCGCTATGCTCTGATAAGTGAGTGATAAATATATAATTCTTCAATTGTTTATAGATAGATATCGATAACCCGAACGGGGAGACCGGGAGACTAAGATAATGAATGATATATAATATATATTTGAATAGTTTTTGTTATTAATCAATAGATGAGATCAATAGTTCTTCACATTTTCAATCAACATACAAAACTGCATCCATTTATTTCTTTTTTAGACACCAAGAGAGTTATTCATTATAACCCACCAGATAGATTATATATTTTATTTTCTTTTCGTTTCTTAGGCCTGTATAAGAACGTAGTTTACTGTGAAGAAATGTTCAAAATCAACTAATATATCATGTAAAAATAAAAGATTAGGTTTATTCGGAAATTCTGTTTTGTTAATACCAAATTTGTATTGTTTTAAAGTTTAATTAGTACCTAAATTTATTTTAAAATTTAAAAAAATTTAAATGGATGGAATAGATCGTTACAAAGATCCAAAGTAAGTTGATATATAATTAAATATAGACGAGCTTAAATTAGATCATGTTGACATAACTAACTTCTGTTTATTATTACTCGTATTTCTAGTAATATATATAGTTATTATGTTGTGGCTCAAAAAGTAGATAAATTCACAAACTAATTTTAATCTCTATTAATTAATAAAAATCGTTTTTTGCAGCTCCCCTGAAGCGATACAAGCCGCAGTTGAATATTATCGACTGGAAGCATGGCATATTGCATTAGTTCTACTCATAATCGTGATCACATTATGGTTATTTTAAATGGATTTTCACTTTTCATTGGATAAATATAAATAAACTTTCACTATGTTTGCCTTGCTTTAAAATAAATGTTGCATTCAAATAACCAATTGCCATTTTTTTATTATTTTCAAGTGAGCAATTAATTTATTGGCACGCAACAGTTTAGGCTGTGAAAAGTGGGTGTATAAATGATATTGTTGGTACGAATAATAAATGACTAGTCATCATTTAAGAGGCGTTTACTTGTACTTATCACTGTGCAACGCCCTTCAAAGAATTGCGTGTAATTTCCTACTCACTGCATTTGGTGCTCTAGCGCAGGCAGAGACGCGGGCGTCGCTTAATACACCAGCAATATAATACAAAAAAGCTAGCATACAGAGCATATTTAAGCATTATAATCTGCAATAATTGAAAAAAAAGAAAAATTAAGCACTTGAAACACCCTAATGTCTGCTGGACATGCGCTCTTTGTCGCTATGGGCGCTGCGATGGCGTTAGCGACGACGCAATGCGACGTTGGCGTCGCTGCATGAAACTGGTTTGAAATGATTTATTACAGCACATAGCGAAAAGCAACAACTAAAAGTAAAAACTATTTAGCTTGACTATTGTTTTTTGTATGGCATCAATATTAAATGAATATTGAAAACATTTAAGCGTTCATTAATTAACATACTGACCAACTATTGTAGTATAACACCTTAATGCACGCTGGACATGCGCAGGTTGCATTTGCTGCGGCTGCTCTGAGCGCCGACTCTGATGCCGACGTCGCCGTCGCCGTCGCCGTCGCAACTTCATCTGCTCTCTTAGCAACGCTCACGGCGCGTTTCGTGTTTTCGCCGCGCATTCCAGTGTTGGCTGTTGAGCGGTTCGGTTGTGAGTTCGCTGTTGCTGCGGAAACAGTTCGCTAAGGCGCGTCTCCTGTTTCGAAAAGTAAATAAAGATCAGCAAACAGCCGTGAATTTGTTAATAAACCAACACGAAATATTACTGTGTGTAGATTTGTATATAGTTCAAGCCAGCTAAAATAGAAATTGAAATGAAAAATCGACCCAAACAACAAGTGCGACAGGAAGCGCGCGCGTTGAAATCGTAACGAAAACGAAAACAAAGTGCACACTAAAAATATATTGTTGTATGTATATGAATGTGTATGTGAAATTCCATTTATTTGCTAATTGGAAATTGTATAGCTATTGATAGCCAATAAAATCAGTCACTTAATTGTGCTAATTGAAAAGAAAGTGGGAAATATAGAAAACCTATATACGTTCAGATATTAGTAAAAAGCAATAATACAAATTTCAATACGAGCGTGTTGCGGCAGAGCACTTACAGATGTGTTGCTGACCATATTTCCCAATTGGTATCGGCCCAAATTTTGTTTTTGGTAAGTTCTGCTTTGTTTTGTAAGCTGCGCTGTCAGCCCTCTCTCGGCGTCTCGCTCAGTCGCTCTTTGACAAAACATTGTCCAGTTATGAGTTTAACATTTTTTTCGGTAATTCACCTCTGGGTGTTCTATTGGCAGCGCAGTTGCCGTCAAGTGTCGCCTGTCTCTTTCGCTCTCACTCCCGCATTTGCTCTAGTACGCTGTCCAGTTTAAAGCTCAGCTCAAACTTGCAAAACGACTTTCAACATCGTTGGCCTGGTGTTGTTTTTGCTACTTCTATTCGCCGCACTGCCACTATAGTTGTTGCTGCTTATTTAATTACACCTACTGTTTTCGCCGTGCTTTAGTTTTGGTTTTGTTGTTTCGGCTGCTGTTTTTAGCACGTTTTTTTCTGCATGTCGAAATCGCCGCGGGCCTTAAATTGTTTTTCGCACAAAGCAATTATTTATTTATACACTAAATGCCATAATTCGGTTGGTTTTTTTTATTGTATTGCTATGGAAAATTATTTTCGAGACATCAGTTTATTGCACATCCGTTAAAATTGTTGATTGATATAATTTTTTATGACGCTTTTCAATGTCTTGACATTGGTTAAAATATTATTATAATGTGGTAAAAAGCCTTGACAACATTTTTTGCATGGTTCTTAAATGAAAAATAATAGTTATTTAAAATAAATGTAGAAAAAAAAAACCATTATACCCTGATTTCCCATTTTCAATGGGTTCAGAGTATAAAAATAAATAAATGAATAGTATTTGATGGAAAATTTCGAAAATATTTATACACTATGGAAAAATCAGGGTAGGAGTAATAAATATGTTGAAATGCAATTTATTCAACTATGGGTTGTCTTATACAGATAAATACCGTTAGTCCCTCTTATGGGGTTTCTATTTCAAACTTGAGCATAAATATAGAAAACCATTATCGGTTATCTCATAGTTCACAATGCGAATGTTCACGCTGTTTTTCCATTTCTTCGTTTCTCTTAGTTCTCTATGTCGATTGTTACCCAATCTAAAGCAAAGAAGAAGAAAAAACTACACACAAGTCGGGGCACGTCTCGCAAAAGTGAGACCCGAAAAAGTGCAGAACGTGACTCACAGAGAGCGAACGCAGCGTTAGCTACGCTTATCTACGGAGCGACTCGAACCTCTGAGTTCGAGTCCGAGTCCAAGTCCAAGTCGGAGAGCGAGAAACTCGCAACAGATTTCGACCCAAACCTTATAAAATACTTGAACGTAAGAAACAATCATAAGCTACCTAATCTTATGCTACGTTTATACACATCAATTTATAAATATATACGAGTACGTATGTGTATATATATTTGTAAACCGGTTTATAGGTAAACGCGTTCTGGGACTCGAATCGACGACATTCCATGGAAGTCAACATTGGATTTTGGGTTGGGGCTTTGGATATTTTATACCAGCTCCCTCTTAACTCATTTGGCATTCAAATTGTTTTCTCCCTGTAGAAGCCCTGAGGCCCATTATTAACAATTTATGTTGCAACTGCTAAATGCATTATGCATAATGCATTTGTTGACTTTGCTGATTGTCTCTAATTAAAAAATGTGGAAAAAATAACAACTTACAACTTGCAACTTGCAACATGATGTGGCAAAGGCGTTCGAGTCGCAACCTTCGCCTGAGGTTTTCGATTTTGCATAGATTGGCTTTGCATTCACTGCAGCAAGAGTCATAAATTTGTATATATATAGATGTACATATTTATGTATAGAGGCAAATAGACATCGCCTCAGTCGCAGCCACGTTTTAAATGCAGCTCTTAGCACAAGTTAAGGCTTTTGTTTTATGACCTTCTCCGCTGCTTAAGTCACACAGCGATTGGAGATGCGAGCAGTACCTCGCTAGAGGTTTTACAGCCTAGGGCACAGTGGTGCGAGGCTGATGGAAAACTAAATGCAATCAAACATTATTTAATGGAATTTCAATGATTAAGATCGTTTATGATATATTGAAAGTTTCGGAATTTAAAATGTGTCAAATTTAATTGACAATAATTACTAACTTAATTGAACATACGATAATTAATTGTTGTCAATAATTATTAATATAATAATGCAGTTTCCCAACATCAAGAAATTAATCGGTTATCATATAGCTAAAACGATTAATTTTTTTTTTAAATTCAGGTCTTGGGCAATTTCAACTCCAGCTCTCGCTAAGAGGGAAATTCCCTTCTATTGTTAACATTCTATAAAGTATGCAATTAGTTACAATTAAGCATTTAAATGTTATCTAATTAGTCAGCCTCTTAAGTAACAAAATTGTCGCTTAATGACTCCAAATTTGTCTAAATTTCGCTTCGGCCCCATTAAGCGCAGCTTTGAGCTCTGTGGGCGTTAGTCAACACTGTTCTGAGCCGTGTGAGTCGGACTTCTTAATCGCATCGCATTGCATTAAGGTTGCCCTGCAGACCCACAGACCTGACCTATGGCTGTGTGTGTTTTTGTCGTTGTAATTTCGTATTCTGTGTCTTTTTCTTCTCCTTTTTCTGCTTCTTATTTTGCATCTCTGTGTGTCCGTTGTCTCTTATTCGGTTGTATCTGTGGGGCCCTTCTTACAAAACCGTTTGCGGTTGGAGTTAGAGTTTATTTTTTGTTAAACACTTATTTTTGTGCAATCAGCACATAGAAAATTGCCTTTTGATCATCTGCGGTGAGGCAAGCTGTATGAGAAAAGATTTTGAATATCTGCGAAGTAAGCTCGATTTATAGATTTGAATATTACATACAATATAGACTTCAATTCACCTGAAAAGAAGATGATATTTTAAGTCAAAACCTATTTAACTGAAATTTCCTAGAATAGAAGAAATATCAAAATTATGGGTAATTCCTATATTTCTGTGAGTTCTAATATTCTATTCTAATATATGTAGTATGTATTCTAAAAGAAAAGCGCATAAAAATATATTTGAGATGTAATATGTAATATCAGCTCAATATCAGCCCTACCATAAAATATAGACTTCAATTCACCTTGAAAAAAACCTTTAATAAAAATATAAATAAAGTCCTATTAGTAATTCCTATCGGGCTGTATAATTTTAAACTCTTTTTAGGTATTATTTGATTTCTTTTAAAGGAAAATTTGTATTTCAACACCTACTTATCCCATTGATTCAATGTAAAAATGTAATGAGAAGTAAAATTGGAAGCAACATCTGCCTTTCTTTTCGTTTTTTTTCTATATCTATATGCAGTGAAGACAATGCCTAAATTATACGTTCAAGCTAAGCTTTTAAAACCGTTAGTTAGTTTCCAGGAACTTTGCATTAGAAGTTTTTTGTCTACCTGTAAATAAGGGCTATTGTCTTAAGTCTTTTAACTTATTTTTTCTCCTTCTCTTAATTTGATTATATTAATTTACTGTTAGCTGTTGAGGATGCTTCTTGAGCAGGTTAATTCAATTAAGAGCTTAATTGTTTTGTTGACAAACGCTCTTAACAAGTTACATATGGAAAAGGCAATGAACGTTTAACTTGTTAGTTAACTTGTCATAGGAAGTAAATTGTAGTTGTTGTCAGACACCAGACAGCTTTATAGAGAGTGTGTCTGTGTGAATAAGTTGATTAAAGTACCCACACATTCAGTTTTCAGTTTCTGTGTACTTTCTGTTGATATCCACTGTCATTTCTGGTTTATTTTCCTTATTCTGAGCTTCATCTTACGTATTTCCAAGAAAATGATCGTGGATTATATGAGATTATATTATTCTTTGAGTTACGCTTTGAATAGCATAATTAATTGGTTGTGGAAGATTATTAATTGAATAAATAATATTATGTAATGTAATATTATGTAATTTTTTGTCATACAAACAAGAGTATATATTCAACATTTTAATCCCATAGAGGGACATTTCACTTTTGTAAATGAGTATAAAACGAGGAATTGTCATTTTATTGTAATATATCCAAAAATCACTTTTATATGTAGAATTATATATGATTAGAATAAAATGTAAATGCTATTTTTCACAAGCGCATATCTTGCATACATACATACATATACATATATGTATGCCCATATATAGATCTATGTATGTATCTAGCTCAGCTTCTTTTATTGAGCGCTTGAAAAATGTATTCAATTCTGGAAAATTTTGTTCTGTTTTGTAGGCAGAGTTTATTATTCGACAAACACTTTTGCACTGATTGAACTTAATTCAATTACGTGCACCGTATGTGTATGGGTGTGTGTGTATGTCTATATGCACATTACATGTATCTTTGACTGCCTTTCTGCTCAGATCGGCCATGAACTGTAACCCGACTGGAACCCTGCTCCCCTGGCCCATAGAGCAGGAAGTTGTTGTATTTAGGCCTAGTTTTATGCTGGTAACTGGCGCTGGCGACCTAAAAGCCATTTGTTTTGGCTTTTGTGTTTACCTCTGCACACATGTCGCCAAATGTATGCTTATGTGTGTGTGTGTGTGTGTGTATTTAGTCACAGCTGCTGGCACAAAAATGCATTTAGAAAAAAAAAAACTATCTCTGTTTACCTTTCACAGACGGCCATTGAGGGCAGCCCACACACGCACGCACACACACACTTAGACCAATACACACACAGACAGTCATTGTTTGTTTATGCTTTGCACTTAGATACTTTCCGTTTTAGCTTCTTTTCTTCGTATGCACCCAATGAAGACACACAACCGATGCCCGGTGCAATATGGATTGCAATTTTCCATCATAAATAAACAATAAAGCATACGCTGTAAACAGCCGGTGTGAGTGCAGCTTACACTGCTCGAAAATAGATAGTGGGTCTTTCACTTCAAAAAAAATTAAGTTCTATCGTTAAGCAGTAAAATATGAGTTTGTAATTTTACTTACGACTTACACTGAGCGATTTTAGTTAATTACACATATTATAAAACTTAAATACTCACAAAGTAGCATTTTATGAAGTTAACCTTTTTAAACAGTTAGATAATTATACACAAAATGTTAGTTTT